TATAATAATTTTGTTACGATATATAAGCTTTATAATATTTTTTCCTATGGTGAGTAAAAATTAAAATTATTCTAGACTTTTTCATGGAATAATATTTTTACATGTTTTTTTTTTTTTTTTTTTGGCATAGATAAAACTTTTATTTCATCATATGCATATGGAAAAAAATATAATACAAGATTCAAAAGAAACACAAATACAAACGAAATACATCGATGATTCTTGTCACATGATCGAAATACTTTTATGTAAGAAATGTATAAATTTCATTGATAATATCAATTTATAGTATTACCATTGTGATCGCAAGAAATTAAATATTACAAAATATTTATGTATCTTATTATTGTATATTTAAGTTTTTGTTATATATATCCTTCTTATATATATAATTATAATAAGTGTAAACTTTATATTTAATAAGAATATTAAATTTTCTTTCATTTTTACGAGAATGATTTTTCAATGTTAATATTATATGAATATTTCAATTTAAATATAAACTATATTATGAAATGATTTTTTTAAATTTTAGGAATGACTTGTGTAAATATTATCTTGTACAGTATATTGTTACTGTATCCTATAATATTGGATTTCATAATGCCTTTAAACGAATCTCATATACGTATACGTTACGTTACATTATTTTCTATTAATCGAACCATATATTTTTATATTTTTTATTTGGATTTTTTATTTATTGTCATATTTGGATTATTTTCTATAATATGTATGGAATCGATAATTGGACTTTATATTTATCGTATAGACTGTATTCTTTAAATTTATTAAGTAAGTAAAATTATTATATTAATCTCACGTGATACTTATTATGCAATAAATATTAATAATTATTATGTTTATAATATTTTTTATAATATGGATTAACATTTATAAGATTATAATTGATTGCAAGATGGTATAATTTTTATAAATTTAATACTATTTTATTACATTTTTTCTATTTCTTAAAATATTTTTTAGGAAATATTCTATAAAATATTAATATATAGATAGTATTGGTGTAAATTAATTAATAATATGCATTAAGTGTTAATATACAAACAAATATGTTCGAGAAATCGACTCGAGAAATCTTGATTTAAAATTTTCCAAGCAATTTTTGTTTTGGCATAATTTTCATTTCGGTTTTATTATTCGTTAGATATTAACGAAATAACGCTCTGTCATCGCTACAGTTTTTCAATAACAATTCATTACCAAAATGAAAATTTTCAGAAAGAAAAAGTTATTTGAGATGCTTTAGATTTACGATTTAAACCTTGTCACTATTAAAATCTTAAAGATCGATTTTTGAAATTTCGAAATTTTAAACGTATATATACATTATATTGATAATTCTATAAAATGCATTTTTTAAATTTTTATTTTTAAAATTTTTAAATTTTTTTAACATTTAATATATAGTAAAAAAACTAAAACTTAAAAAATATTTTTTAATTTTATTATGTTCTTTGAGATTCTAATAAATTGCAGTTTTAAAGAAAAAAATTTTATATAATAATTTTATTAATTAATTCATCGAACTTTTCTAAAAAAAAAAAAGAACTTGAGTCATTAAGTACAATCTTTAAAAAATCGTGTTTTAAAGAGTGTATTAATATTTTTTGATTAGTCGTATAAATATATATAAATAATATATATAAATAATAAATATAAATAAAATAATTTTAAACAGTAAATTATAAAATTTGTTCTAAACAATGTTTATCTGCAAATGTTTCTCATGTTTTTAGCCATCGAATAAAAAAGATTATTGCATATTTAACTATGTTTAATCTCTCATTGAAGCAAATTGATTCGAAACTCTCAGAGTTTTATCGCGTGGTGGATATTCATAACCAAGTTATCCAGTTGGTAAATTAAAATATGATGATATTATTAGTAGATACTCATATTAATATTTTATTTGCAATTTTCATATGGCAATGGAAGACTATCAATATCATGATAAATAATTCAGAAAAACAGTTTATGATGTCTACTCTTTTAACTATGATTTCAATAGCTATAAGTCTGCATCAAGTAAGTACTTTTTCTTTATTACATAATAATAATAAACGAACTAACATATCTGAATTCTTAGTTATCGGATGTTTTATTTTAATTTATTCACATTTTACGAAAAGTGTTTGAAAAGAAATATCTTTTAGTAGCTCTTTCATTTCAAAAATATCACAATTAATTTAGGAAACATCTTTTAAACGATTCTTCATATAATGATTGATTCTTCTCGAAAATCTTTTTCATTTATATAACTCTAAAGAAAAATTTAAGTGCTATGGAATAATTTCGATAAAATTTATTAATATTTACATCGATAAATCAATTCATCATGTTTGATTGATTTACTTCAATGAGAAAAATCTTTCAACTATCCATAATGTAAAATTTTAACAAATACGAGATTTTTAATGATTTTCAAATATCAACATAATTGCCATGAATTGGAATAGATTTCAATCTTGGAAAAATACATACAATTTTATTTAAAAAAAATCTAGATTATCATTAGATTTCCAAAAAAATTTTAACAGTCATCATAAAACGACTTTTTGAAAAATATGTTTTATATGTAAATGTTTTTTTAAGTGATGCATGATTCAAAAGATAATTATGCAAATGGAAATTAAATTGAGACATCTTGTATGTGCAAAATCATGTAATAATTTTGTATAAGATTTTTTTTAATTTTTTTGAATTTATAAAATATATGAAACGAGATTTCTAATTTATATATATTGAATAAATACATAATAATAAATAAATATATCAATAAATTTATTAATTAATTTAAAAATTATTTAATTAATTTAAAATATCATATTGAATATACTTATTTTTTTTAAATATTTTACAGCTAATAAATGCGATTACAATTAAGAAGAATCAATTGAAGAATCAATAAAATTTTAATTTTTCTTATAATTTTTACCAATTAATTAGTATTTATATTTTTATGCAACCATAGTGCTCAGATATTTATAAACGGTATTTATAAACGGTAAAGAATTTTTTCATGAATTATAAGTTTGAATTTTTTATTCATGAAATTAATTGCATTAACAGTAAAAAAAAATATTCATTAGAATAGATATTTTTCTATATGGTATTTTGTACCGTTAAAAGTATAAAAGATTTTATTACTGATTATGATACGAAACTTAACGGCATATATGTTTCACATCTTTGTGATCAGATGTGTTTGCTTCATGTTATGCAGGATGTACAACGGTATTTTGTTTTTTTTATTATTTAATTATTAATTTAATTATTATTTGATAAAAAAACGAATATCATCACCATTTTAATTTAAAACTAATAAAAATTGTTTCATTTCAGATGTTAAGTACCTCGTTTTCACATTTTATTTTGATGTACTCGCTACAATAGAATTAATAGTATCATGTTAAATATATTAGTATCGAAATAAACAATTATTATTACTCTATACTTCTTTATTTTGTCGATTCTTCTTGTATAATATTTTCTCAATTAAATATTCTATATAGTTTCTTAAATTGCTAATATTTTTATATTATTTGTTATTGACCATTATAATTAATCTATCTATAAGATAATTACTATATCGCACATTTATTTCTTAGTGAGAAAATATAACCGTTTTCTTTTTTATATTTATATCCTTGAATATTTATATTAAATCTATTACATTACCTTTATTTCATAGCACTTAATTAATTCTAACATAACAATAATAGAATAAAAATCTTGATATTCAAAAACAAATATAAAATAAATATGATAACAGTAAGAAGAAAATTATTACGATGTAAATAATAAAGATTCAGTTTTTTTTAATTCCGTTGATGTATTCTCTCATTTTTTTTTTTTTTTTTTTTTGATTCCTTTAATATATTTATACTCAATAATATATTACAGTAATTTTTAAATAATGGCAAGTTTTATATGAGTTTATTTTAAATCACTTTATATTTAAATTAATATTATTATTACGATCATTTTAATATTAATTTCATTCTTTAACTAGTATTTTTTGTTGGCTTATCTTTTCATATATCGTTTAATTTGAAGAAAGAAAGAAAAATTGTTCAAATATTTACAAATGAATGCAATCTGCAAGTGATCGAAATTTCTTATATAATGAATGTAAATGAAAAAAAAAACATTTTTATCATTAATCATTGTGCTTTTTTTTTTGTTTATTTCTTATATCATAAATTTAGTTGCTTTAAAAAAAAAAGCAAAAATTCTATATCATTTAGATAATATATCATAATTTTTTTAAAATTAATTTTGAAAGGATTATTTTATCGAAGAAAATATTATAATGAACCCTAAAATTGACTTTTGACTTGATAAGAATAGTATATCAGCAAGATGAAAAATTGCAAGATAACAGTCATATATAAAAATTACTTTAGACAATAATTAATATAATTATTATAATGCATCACGCAAACATTTTACACATTATCATTCCTTTTCCATTCCAAACAAAACACATTCCTTTTTATTGATTTCTTTTAATTTCTCCTTGTTACTCCTTATTACTCATTGAATGAAATAATGATATGAAATATTCGTAACTGAATAAAGTAACGATAGAAGTAAGAAAGAAATTCTCTGGTAAAGTAATCGAAAGATACTATTCATTGTAACAAATTTTGATTCTCTCAACACTTGGAACAGAAGAAAAAAGAATAAAAAAAAGAATGAAAAAAAGAATGAAAATAATGATAAATAATACAAATAAGAAACTTGAAAACTATAATTTTCTCGAAATCAATGTCTATTATGAAAGAATATTTTTTGCATAAAATTGATCGATTATAATTTATTGCTATTACTATATATTATACTATTTCTATTATAGACAAATGATATTAGGAAAATACGAAAGCGAAAAATAATTGCGTAAATAATATATCAAGCAGAGGTATAGTCGCTTGATTCTTCAAGTTCTATACGACAGTTGACATTTGATTAGGAAAATGGACGTATTCGACAAACAGTATTATATCTATCGTATTGTAATGAAAATTGTAGGATTGTGGCCGTACAATAACTCGATTTATATATGGATTCAGAGATTGTTGTTATTGACATTCTTTCTTGGCAATGTACTATTTCAGGTAATAAAAATTGATTTTTCTTTGTGGAATTTCATTGTATTTTTATGATGATTATAGGATTATATAATGATTATTACAGTATATTAATGTTCTTTTTTGTAAATTAATAATATGCATTTATTGTATTTATATGAAATAATAATATATTAAGATTTTAATTTTATGATTAATTATACAGATATTAATGTGATATGAATACATAAAAACAGATTTTGCACATTATTTAAAAATTATTATATTATATGTTTTGGAGCATAAAGTCCAAGTTAATATATATATACAGAGCATAATTTTATTTCATTAATTTTATATCACTTAAAAATTAAGTTTTGAAAAAATGAATGTTAGAAATTGTCGATTGTAGAATTTTTCCATTTATATATATACATATTTATCGATTTTTAACAATTTTTTTTAAAAAAACAAAAAAGAAATTTAAGCAGTAAAATTTAATTTTATATTTTTCACATATTTTTATGTATAAAATGATTTTGTTTCATAATTTTTTTTTATATCTAATTGAAGAACAATTTTTACTTTAGAAAATTTTATTTTAAAGAATTATGTTTAAAAATTTAATTTAAAAAACTACCGAATTTAATTTTTGTGAATGAACTTGAAGCAAAAATTTGTTTCTTTTTCATCTGTTTATACATGTTATTCAGCTAGATTTTATATATATAAAGAACGTGCTAAAATTAATATCTATGAAATTTTTATTTTTATATTTACATTTTTTGTTTTTACTTGTGATTTTATTTTTGTATTTTTGAAATAATGTCTGTAACATTTAAAAATGCTGATTAAATGATGATAATGTATTTAAAAACGATTAAAAAAATATTATATTATATTTTAATAATGATAAATATTATATCATTATTAAAAAATTGAATTCTATTATATTTTATTATTATATTATAATTTTATACATTTATAATTATTACATTATATATCATTATTATATTTTATTCTATAATTAATAATCTTTTAAGCATTATTCTGATCAACAAATAGAACATATTTTTAGATTGTGTCACTTTTAAAATCCGAAATTACATTACGAAACTGTATTTTAATATTATCTACGACTTGTCCATTTATGATAGTTTCGTTACGATACATATGTTTTATAGTACTTTTTCCTACGGTGAGTAGAAATTAAAATTATATTAAATATTTTTCATGAAAAATTATTTCTTACATCGTATTTTGCTATAGATAAAACTTTTATTTCATCACATGCGTATGGAGGAAAGTATAGTACAAGATTCAATAGAAATACGGATACGAACAAAATATATCAACGATTCCTGTCATATGATCGACATTTTTTTCTGTAAGAAATGTGTAATTTTTTTTTGTGATTAATCTATAACATTATATATCATTATAATAATTTACAAATATTCACAAATATTATTGTATATATATTATATTTAAGTTCCTTCTATATACAAGTATATATGTACTTATATATACATGTATATATCAAGTTCCTTGCATCCTCTTACATATATATATATATATATATATATATATATAACTATAATATTTGTAATTCTTTTATTCGTTATTTCGTAACAAAAATACTAAGATTTTTTTCTTTTTTTATAACAATACAAAAATTGATTTTTCAATTATAATATTATATTAATTACTCGATTTAAATATAAATTAAATAATTGAATCTGAATAATTGTTTTTTTTTTAATTTTAGGGGTGGCTTGTACAAGTATCGCATTGAGCAGTATATCGTTATTGTATTTCGTAACATTGAATTTCATAATGCCTTTGAATGAATTTCGTATCATTCATCACATTACATTATTTTCTATCAGTCGAACCATATATTTTAATATTTTATGCTTGGATTTTATATTTGTTGTAATATTTGCATTATTATCTGTAATATGTACGGAATCGATAATCGGACTTTATAGTTATCACACAAGTGTGTTGTTTAAAATTATTAAGTGAGTAATGTTATCATATTCGTCTGGCATGATGTTCATTATGTAATAAATATAAACAATAAGTGTATTTCAAATCTCGTTCAAAATAAATTAACATTAACGATAATTATATAACATTAACGATAAAATTATAATTAGCAAAATCGCATAATCTTCGTAAGTTTAATATTAATTGAAATATTATATTTTTTTCTTATTTCTTATATAGAATATTAATATTCATGATGTGTTAATATTTATATATACTAATATAAGCAACTTTTTTTTGCATAAATTTTCATTTTTGTTTTGTTATTCATTAAATATTAACAAAAATGTTAATTAATAAAATATGTTAATATTAATTTTAACGAAATCGACCATGGTTTTTCGTTAACTCACTAAAAAAAATTTTCACGAAGAAAAAGTTGTTTGAAGTCTTTCATGTATTATCATTTAAGCTTTATCACTATATAAATCTGGCATTAATTTACAAAATGCATTTTTAAAATTTTTATTTATTTATAAGATTTAACAACATATATTTGAAAAATTGAAAGAAATATCTTTCTTTCAATTTTTTCTTCACAATATTTTCTTCACAATTTCGAGAAATTCAAAACTTCTTCAAAAATTTTTGTTATATATTATATATAGCAAATTAATTCATTTAACTTTTTAAAAAAAAAAATTCAAATAAAGATTATCGTCATTATGTATTTTTAAAAAAATTATTGTATTTTAAAGATTGCACTAATTTTTTTGACAAATCGTAGAATATGAACGAAATAAATTTAAATATATTATAAAATTTTTACTTAAGCGATGTTTATTTATATATATCTCATATTTTTAGCCATCGAATACAAAAGATTATTATGTATTTGACTATAGTCAATCTTTCGCCAAAAGAAATTGAAACGAAATTCACAGAACTTTATCGTGTAGTGGATATTCATAATCAAGCTATCGAGTTAGTAAATTAGAATATGATTATATTATAAATTGATTTCACAGATACTTATATTAATATATAAGATATTTATATTAAATATATTATATTTTATTTGCAAATTTCATATGGCAATAAAAGACTTATCGATGTCATGATAAATAATTCAGGAAAACAGTTCATGATATCTGCTCTTCTACTCGTGATTTCGATGGCTATAAATCTGCATCGAGTAAGTATCTTTTCTTCTTTACACGATAATAATAAACAAATTCAAAGTTATCGAAATTCTCGATTAATATATCGGATTTCTTATTTTAATTTATCTACACAATTATTTCTTAAATTATAAATTATTCAAAATGATGATTTATACGATTTAATAAATATGATTTAAACTTGCATTTGAAAGAAGACGAGGCTTTTTCTCAAATTGATCTGTGCCTTTTTTTAAAATAAAATTATATGTTTCTGTTTAGCGAAGATTGTCTACTCTGAAATGAATTCATTATTCTAATTATAGTTTTTGAACGTTATTCAAAATTATTCGTTATTAATCAAAATTATCATTAATTATACAAATTATTCCTCATACTGTATTCGAAGATATAGCCTTGCACATTTATGCAATGATTTATTCTTTTCCTAAATAAATCCATTTTCTTCAAAAAGTATCATAATTAATTTGAGAGACATTTCTTATGCGAGTCTTCATATAAGTTGATTCGTCTGAAAAAATTTTTTCGTTTATGTAACTTTAAAAAAAAAAGAATCAATGCTACGATGCTAGTAATTTTAATAAAATATTTACATTGATAAATCTATTATTCATCATACTAATGAAGAAAATCTTCTAAAATCATACACAAAATAAAATTTAAACAATCATATATAATCTTGGGTATCAATGACTAATAACATAATTGGTTAATTTCGTATATAATAGATCACAATCCTAAATATATATAGTTTCATTAAAAAAAAAAAAGATTATTATCAGATTTCAAGAATAAATTTAAATATATATTTGATCATAAGATGACCTTTTGAAATGCAAGTTTCATATGTAACACTTTTTTCTTTTAAATAAGATAATTGTGCAAATAGAAATTAAAATGAGACATTGTGTACAGGTAATTTTGCGTAAGACTTTCTTGAATTTTTTAAAATATATTAAAAGAGATACTTCGAATTTATAATTTATATAAAAATATACCAATAAATCAACTTAAAAATAAATGTATCTTATTAAGTATACTTATTTTTTATTATTTCACAGCTAGTAAATGCAATTATAATTAAGAAGGATCAATTAGAAATTTCAATCTCTCTTATCTTTTTTGTCAATCAATTAATGATTATGTTTTTATGTAACCACAGCGGTCAGATACTTATAAACAACAGTGAAGAATTATTTAATGAATTGTAAGTTTGAATTTTTATTCATTAAATTAATTAGCACCAATGTTAAAAAAAATGTCACTATTCTTTGGATAGATATATTTCTGTATGGTATTTTGTACCGTTAAAAGTACAAAAGATTTTATTGCTGATCATGATACGAAGCTCAACGAGATGTATGTTTCACATCTTGGGTATATTCACTCCATGCTATACAGGATTTTCGAAGGTAATTTGTTTAAATATCTACATGATCATTGTTTTAATCAAAACTAATAAAAATTGCATTTCAGATGTTAAGTACATCGTTTTCATATTTTACCTTGATGTATTCGATGCAATAGAATCGATGGTATCACATTAGATTAGTATTAGTATTGAAATAAAGAATTATTATTATATACTTCATTTTGATATTTGTTCTTTATTTTTGTTAGTTCTTCTTGTTAATATTTTCTCAATCAAATTTTTTATATACACTTTCTTGAATTGCTAATTAATTTATATTATTTATTGATCATTATAATTAATTTGAAATAATTATTATTTCTTATATTTATTTCTAATTCTAGAAGAAAATAACCATTTCTTTTTTAATATGACATTCAAATTTTTTAATTCGAAATCTTATGGAAATTCTGATTTGTTCTTATTTTGACAAAGTATAATAAATTATATATCAATACAATAATTTATCTATAGATTTAAAAATATTTATACAATAATTTATCTATGAATATTTAAATACAGTGTTGTATAATGGTATTATTTTGGAATAATTCAATAAAATTAATAATTTACGTTACGTAATATACGTATATTGTAATATTGTTACAATATCTAAATATTGTATTATATCAAAATTTTCTATAATTGTTTATTTAAGAATTCAATTCAAGCATTATATTAGAGTCTCAACATTTTCCTACAAATACGATTTAAATCAGAATATTTGTGGAATATCTGTTATTTCATTTCCTCAAATATATAAAAATGGAAACAACGTTATGCCAAGAATTATTATCTGATATTGATGGAAATAATAATTGAACGTTAAAAAGAAAAATTTCAAAATACAAAAAATGAACATAAAGATTAAATTCCTAAAAGATTTTTGAAAAAATTGTCAAATATCAATATAATTACACAAATTTACATCTATTTATTCAGTTATTATTCAAATATATATTATTATTCAGTGATTCTTTTTTATATAATATATTTAAGATTTTTTAAGGAATTTCAAAAAGTTTTTTTTAAAAAATTCAGAAAATTAAAAAATTTTTTTCAAGAATTTAGTAATTCTCAAAAAAATTCTTAAAAAATGTTTTTGCTTTTTCTTAATATTTCTATTTTATATATATATGATAGATTATATTTAAAGTTTATAATATTAAAAAAATAATTAAAAATAGTTAAAAATGTTTTTGATTTTTTGAGCCATTGATTCCAAACAATAAACAATAAACAATTAATTAAAAATACTAAAAAACAATAAATTTTTGTATTTTTTTCAACTCGATACAACTAATTTGTAGTGTATATTATTTTTCCTCTTCGTGCTTAATAACCAATTTTAGAAATTTTATAAATATTTTTTCGAATTATCTTATAAATTTATTTTTTATTATAAATTTATGTTAAAACTTTATAATATATTTTATATAATATTATATAATAAATTATATAACCAAATAATTATATAATAAAATTATATAACTATTATTTATCATTCAAAATTATATAACCATTATTTATCATTCATATTATCAATGTATTTTAAGATATTTATTTGGTAGTGAATCCTCAATTTTAATAATAAAAAATTATAAATTTATATATGTTTTCTATCATATATTCCTAATAAAATTATATTGAATTTTATTTAAAATATCAAAATATTTCATATATACTTTATATATATTTATTTCACATAAATTACAATAGTGCACAATTTCGTTCAAAATCAAATTAAAAATAATAAAATTTCTCCTTCAAGTAATTAAATAATTAATTGCATTCTACATATATTCTACAAAATAACTTAAAATAATAATTATTTAAATAATATTAATACAGCATTCAATATCTAAAAATTAATTTAGACAATAATTAATATGATAGTATTTTAAGATATTATGTAAACCTTTTTCTTATATTATTACTATTCGAGCAAAACACTTCCTTTTTTATTGACCTCTTTCAATTTTTTTCTTGTTACTCCAATTAAATGAAATATATGAGGTATTCGTAATTGAATAAAATAACGATATAAATAAGAAAGAAGTTTTCTTGTAAGGTAATTGGAAGATACTATTTATCCTAACAAATTTTTATTCTCTCAATACTTGGAACAGAAGAAAAAAAAATAAAGAAAAGATTGAAGGAATAAAAAGAACGACAATAAAGATTAATAATACAAATAAGAAACTTGAAAACTATAATTTTCTCGAAAACAATATCTATTATAGAAAATTTTCTTAAAGACATGTATAAAATCGATCGATTGTTATTTACTATAATTGCTGCACATTATACTATTACTATTATAAAAAAATAACACTATGAAAATACGAGAGAGAAAAATATTTGCGTAAATAATATATCAAGCCGAAGTGTAGTCGAATGATTTTTCAAGTTCTACATGACAGTCTATATCTGACTAAAAATATGGACGTATTCGACAAACATTATCATACCTATCGTATTATGTTGAAAATTATTGGACTATGGCCGTATAATAACTCAGTTTACGTGTGGATTCAGAGATTATGGATATCGACATTATTTCTTGGCAATATAATATTTCAGGTGATAAAAATTATAATTTTTAATTTTTTGTAATTCGTTAAATTTTTATTAAAGTAGTTTATAGAAAATTGTTTCTTTATTATAGCATATTAATATCCTTTTCTGTAAATTAATAATATCCATTTATTGTATTTGAAATAATAATGTATTATGATTTTAAGTTTGTGAATAATATATATTAGCGTGATAGAAATGTATAAAAATATATTTGCATAATATTTAAAAGTTTTTATATTTTATACAGTATCCAGTTAATATATACTGCATAATTTTATTTCATTTAAAAATTAGTTTTCAAAAAAAAGATGAATTCTGGAAATCATCGATTTTTTATCAACGTATATCATTTAAAAATAAAAGAAAAACTTAAAATTTAATTTTACATTTCTTGCATATTTTCATATGTAAAAGAATCTTCTTATATAATTATTTGTATTTATTTGAAAATTACATTTTAATTATTAAGTAATTACACTTTAAAACATTTCATTTTAAAAAATTAAATTTAAAATATTTATCTAAAAAACTTCTAAATTTAATTTTTTTGGAAATTTTTAAAATCAAAATTTTAAATTTAATTCTTTCAACAAAAAGCAATGAAACAATAAAATTTTATACTGGTTTTTTTATCCACTTATATATAATCTTGTATATATCTATAAACAGAACAAAATCAATATCTACGTTTTTATCTTCACATCTCCATTTTTTATTATATTTTTGTTTCACAATAAATTGTAATAAACTGTAATATATTTTAAAACACCGATTAAATAATGAAAATAATAATATATTTAAAAACGTAATTAAAATATTATATAATCTTTATAAGATCTAATACTTTTAACTTTAATTATTTTAATAAATATTTTTAGATTGTGTCACTTCTAAAATCTGAAATTACATTACGAAACTGTACTTTAATATTGTCTACGATTTGTCCACTTATGATAATTTCGTTACGATATATATGTTTTATACTATTTTTCCCTATGGTAAGTAAAAATTAAATTATTTTAAACTTTTTCATAAAAAAATATATTTATCTCTTATTTTACTTGACATAGATAAAATATTTATTTCATCATATACATATGGAGGAAAATATAATACAAGATTCAATAGAAAAACGAATACGAACAAAATGCATCAACGATTCCTGTTATATGATCGAAATACTTTCGCGTAAGAAATATTTCATTGATGATATTAATATATAAATTAATTAAATTAGTTAAAGTAAATTTCATTGATGATATTAATATATAATATTACCATTGTCATTGTAAAAATTTACATATTCCAAAATATTTTTATAATATCATTTTATTTAAGTTTTTTATTATATATATTCTTCTCTATGTATATAACTATAATACTTGTAAATTTTTCTCGTTATTTTTTAACAAAAATATCAGATTTTCATTTTTACAACAAGAACAGTTTTTCAATGATAATATTGTATGAATATTTTAGTTTGAGCATAAACTATATTATTGAATGATTATTCTAAATTTTAGGGATGCCTTATGCAACTGTTGCATTCTGTATTGGGATATTGGTATCATATCTTATAACATCAGATTTCGTAATGCCTTTGAACGGATCTCGTATAGATATAATTCGTTACGTTACATTATTTTCTGTCGATCGAACCATATATTTTTATATTTTGTGCTTGGATTTTTTATTTGTTATCATATTTGGATTATTATCTGTAATATGTACGGAATCAATAATCGGATTTTGTAGTTATCATACAAGTATGTTGTTTAAAATTATTAGGTAAGTAAATCATCATATCTTCATAATATTTATTATGTAATATATATTAACTATTATTATATTTACAATATTTTTTACAATATGAATTAATATTTATAAGATTATAATTAATTTCAAGATCGTATAATCTTCGTAAATTTAATTATTAACTATTTAAAATATTATATTTTTCCTTATTCCTTATATAGAATATTAATATATAAATTAATATAAGTTCTAATATACATTAAGTAATGTGCATTAATATTGATGTGTTAATATACAAATATGTTCGAGAAATTGACTTGATTTATAATTATGAGATGACTTCAAGCAATTTTTGTTTTGGCATAAATTTTCATTTCAGTTTTATTATTCGTTAGATATTAAAAAAATGATGCTCTATGATTGACCACAATTTTTCAATAATAATTCATTACCAAAATGAAAATTTTTGAAAAAGAAAAAGTTGTTTGAAATCCTTTAAGTATTACTATTTAAGCCTTGTTATTATTAAAATTTTAACGATCGATTTTAGGAATTTTGAAATTTTAAACATATATATAAATACATACATATTATTTATATTATATATTATATATATATTTTATATTATAAATACTGACAAATCTACATAATATTTTATAATATTTTTTAAATTTTTATTAAACGTCTAATATATAGTAAAAAGAAAATTAAAAAAAATATCTTTCATTATATTCTTTGTTAATAAATTGCCGTTTTTATAAAAAAATTTTTATATATTATCGTATATGCTATAAATTAATTCATCTAATTTTTTCAAAAAAAATAACAGGAAACTTAACTTATTAGATACAATTTTTAAAAAAGTTATAGTGTTTTAAATAATGCATCATACTTTTTTATTCACTATATAAATATATACAAAACAATTTTAAACAATAAAATTATAAAGTTTTTTGTTAAGCGATGTTTATTTACGAATGTCTCATATTTTTAGCTATCGAATACAAAAGATTATTATGTATTTGACTATAGTCAATCTCTCGTCGAAGCAAATTGAAAAGCAACTTGCAGAGCTCTATCGCGTGGTGGATATGCATAATCAAGCTATCGAGTTGGTAAATTATAATATGATATGTATTATATTATAAATTGATTTCATAAATACTTATGTTAATATTTTATTTGCAAATTTTATATGGCAATAAAAGACTTATCAATGTCATGATAAATAATTCAGGAAAACAGTTCATGATAACTGCTCTTCTACTCGTGATTTCGATGGCTATAAATCTGCATCGAGTAAGTATCTTTTCTTCTTTACACGATAATAATAAACAAATTCGAAGTTATCGAAATTCTCAATTAATATATCGGATTTCTTATTTTAATCTGACCACACAATTATTTCTTGAATTATGGATTATTCAAAATAATAGTTTATACAACAAATTTGCGTTTAAAAGAAAATGTTGGTGGAGGCTTTTCTTTAGATGATCTGTATTTTCTTTTTTTTTAAATAAAATTATATGTTTCTATTTAGTAAGGATCGTCTACTCTGAAATGAATTCATTGCCCTATTTATGGTTTTTGAATGTCATTAACTTTAAGATTATTCATTACTATTCTACATTTATTATTATTAATTAGTAGAAATGTTCCTTATATTCTATATTCAAAAGAATAATTTTGCATATTTATACAATAATTTATACTGTTCCTAAATAACAATTCCAATCTCCTAAAAGTATCAATTAATTTGAGAGACATTTCTTATGCGATTTTTCATATACATTGATTGTCTCGAAAAATTGTTTCATTTATGTTTTTATAACTTTAAAAACAATCTAAATGCTATGGAATAGTAATTTTGATGAAATACTTACATCGATAAATCGTATTATTTATCATATTATATTATCATATAATTTATTTCAATCAAAATCTAGCCATAAACAAAACAAAATTTAAGCAATTATATCTGATCTTAAATGACTTTCAAATATTGTTCAACAACATAATTGTTGAATTCGTATTGGAATAGATTCTGACTAAATACATGTAGTTTCATTTACAAAAAAATAATCGTCATATTTCAAGAAAATTTAAATATATTTGATGATCATCATAAAATTTTTTATAATATAAAGTAAAAGTATAATATATAGTATAATATAAAGTAAAAGTATAATATAAAATAAAAGTATGTAATCTAAAGTACAATATAAATATAATAATGTACATTTATAAAATATAAGTTTCATATGCAACATTTTTTTTTAAATAATGCATCATTTAGAAGATAATTACGCGAATAAAAATTATAATATATAATGTATAAGATTTACATAAAACTCTCTTCAATTTTTCTAAATTTTGTGAAACATACTAAAAGATACTTCGAATTTATAATAAATAAATGTATCAATCAACTTAATTATTGAGTATACTTATTTTTCATTATTTCACAGCTAGTAAATGCGGTTATAATGAAGACGAATCAATTAGAAATTTTAATTTCTTTTATCTCTTTTGTCAACCAATTGATGTTTATGTTTTTATGTAACCACAATGGTCAGATACTTATAAACAACAGTGAAGAATTATTTAATGAATTGTAAGTTTGAATTTTTATTCATTAAATTAATTAACACCAATGTTAAAAAAAATGTCACTATTCTTTGGATAGATATATTTCTGTATGGTATTTTGTACCGTTAAAGATACAAAAAATTTTATTGTTGATCATGATACGAAGTTCAACGATATGTATGTTCCACATCTTGCATGTATTCATTCCATGTCATATAGGTTTTTCGAAGGTAATTTGTTTAAGTACATGTTTAATAAGTACACGATCGTTTTAATCCAAACTAATAAAAATTGTTGCATTTCAGATGTTAAGTACATCGTTTTCATATTTTAGCTTGATATACTCGATACAATAGAATCGCTGGTATCATGTTAAATGTATTAGTATTGAAATAAATAATTATTATTATTCTACACTTCATTTTCATATTTTTTTTTATCTTGTTTATTCTCTTTATCAATATTTGCTCACTTAAATATTCTATAACTATTTTCTCGAATTGCTAATTAATTTATGTCATTTGTTATCGATCATTTCGATACCATTATAAATAATCTAGAGTACTTACTATTTTACAAATGTATTTTTTTTAAATTATTGATTTCTTTACTTATTTATTTCTTAATTCTAAAAGAAAATAGCTATTTCATTTTTGATATAATCCTTTTCACACCATTCAGAAAAAAGATATTGAAAATATGTATGAGAAAAGATGAATATAAAAAAAAATAAAAACCACTAATAACTTATAAATTATACGCAAGAAAAATATGTATCAATCGACATAATTAATTACGAATTTTCAAAGGAAAATATTATTTATTTGAATATTTGCATTGCAATTTTGTTACAAATTCCGCACAATTATGTAAGATTTTAAGAGAAAATATATTTCCTGGTGCGTAATAAAATGTCAATTAATTTTAGATTTTTCTTTTAATTTTATACATATGCAAATGGAGAAACATTAATAATCAGTCAATTGTTCGAAAATTAAAGACTTATCTTTTTCCTTATACAAAAAAATTCTTATTTCATTAAACTTCTTCTTTCCGTTCTTTCTCAAATATGATGACGAATTCTTCTTTCTGAGATCTATATCATAAATACACTTATCAAAGTCTAAATTGAATGAATATTGCACAAATGTGCTGCCTGAACTGATGCTATTACTCAAAGAACCACCTACTTTGAGTAAACGAATAATAATTTGTGATTGATTGAATACTATAATGATTCTATACTCTGATGCGAATTCTATCGTTTTTGAATTTTATCTGATCTATATTCTATTTTTATTCTAATTGATTTGATCTGAAAGACTGTTTACGGACCTTGATTTTTCCTCCAAGTATCATTTTTCGTGAAAATGAAAGCTAAAAAGGGATTAGAGGGACCAATAATCGCGTTGGAGGGCTGTTTCGAGGGATGGATCCTCGCAGAGTCGTGATGCAGCGCGTGAGAGTCAGGACTTATGCACAATAATCCGTCGCAAGATAAACGCGCAAGCGCGACTTGTGAAATGGCTATTACTGTTATATCTCTGTTTAAATTGAGAATCTGAAAGGAGTTGAAGAACTGTAGTCGCTCGTAAATTATTAAATGATAATAATGGAAAAAAGTTGTCATGTGACCAATTTCTCCTAATAAGTTGATCAATAAATCTCGAGAGTATTTGGAAATAATAAAATTTCAATATATTTGAAAATAAAATTCTTGAGTGTTATTCAAGATTTATTTTTTGTTAATGGAGACTGTTAATTTTGTTAATATAGATTATTCGAGTAATTTATACAATATATCGAATAATCATTATCAGCAAAATCTTCTAGTAAAAAATAATTTCCAATGGGAACAGACTTTTGCTCTCCAAATTTAAAATCATAAATTTAAAAAAATTTTTAAACTTTAGAGATATGTAATATATATATGTATTATATTTTTTTTTTAATTTTATTTTTTTTTTTAATTTTAGATTCTGAAAAAATAAAATTGTTTCATAAAAGTTCAGTTATTTATTTATTATCAGTCATTTATTTTTAAATTTTGTGTTATAACTGTGAAAGATAGAGAAACAATTTTCAGAAATTTTTCAAAAATTGTTTTTAATGATGAAGAAAACGATTACAAATACAAACAATTTATAATTTATTTTTTTAATTCATTTTTTATGTGAAATCCAATTTCAATGATTATAATATTATAAAACAATATGAAAAAATAAATATTTTTCTTTACAAATTTATATATTATAATATTTCTTTACAAATACAAGTATTGTATATTGTTATATTTTGTTCCACGACAATTTGAAAGAAAATTTCTGGATTTCATTATTATATGATGTGCATATATTACAGTCTTTTTCTAATGCAATAATAAGATAATATATATTACATTGAAACAGATAGAAATAGAAGAAATGAAGAGAAATGAAGAATATTTGACATATTATCTTTATTAAAATTTTTTATTTTTAACATAATTATCGAATTTTTTATTTTCTTATAAAATAAATTAAAGACATCATACAGAGATACAAAAAGCAATTTTAAGTAGTATTTGTCAGATAATTAAGAATATGGATTATTCTTCATTATAATAAAATTATTCAAAAAAATATTTGAAACGTAATAATAGTTACAATATACACGTACACCATATGATAGAATGATAGACCATGTACGAAATAAAGTATACTAAATTTTGTTATGAAAAAGCAAAAGCTACTGGATTTTTAAAATTATTTGATCTCTCGTCAAAAGATATCAATTTATCAATTTTTATATCATTTGTACATTGTTTATAATATTGTTATTAAGAAAAATCGGAAAATTTTCTATATGCGAACATCATATGCATCTAATTCTATCATTTCTGTAATTTCCTTCGCGATTGTAAATTTTCAATATATCTATTATATATTTTGTAATATATGATAGCATACAATATATTTTGTAATGTAAATTGACAGTGACATAGTCTCCAACAATCCAAAACATTCTGTCTCCTCGAATCCAAAACATTCTGAGATTTGGTAAATATACATTTGTTAATTATTCATTATTCATTATTCATTAAGTAATTCTTTGATTAATTTTTCAAATATGGAGATTGTATATGTATATATTATATAAAAATTTAATGTATAATAAAAATTGTTTTACTTACATATGGACCAAAGTTACAAATCTATTCAAATTTCTGTTTCAAAAGTAAAAAGTAGAAAAATTTTCCACAAACTGATATAAGTAAAATTATGCAATTGGCTTGTGTCCCTCTTCAGAAAAATTGTAAAAGAATGTAAATATCTCTAAAGAACTTGTTGAGTGTCATTCAAATCTCATCATCAATAAACTATCTACACATTTGTGCATAATAAAAATAAAATATATATACATATATACATATAAATATATATACATATGAATAAGTAGTAGTGACTAATCCATTCTTGGAAAAAATATGATAAAGTAATTAAAAATAGAAGTCAATGGCTCTTCAAAGAAACTGGCTAATTTAATCAACTGACTGGAGACGAAAACAATCCTATTCTAAATATGATATACCTATATGTAATACTGTACAATTTCTGTAACATATTTTTTGCTTTGTCTAATTAAAGAACAGCCGGAATATAATTCTAAATCAAATCAGCATTCAATGTATTTTTTATTCCTTTTAATATGAATTTTTATGTTAACAAAATTCGAAGCAATTTTATTTATCATAATTGTGTAATATTCATATCATATAATGAGATAATAAATTTATATTCTTGAAAATTATTGTATTCTTTTGAAAATTGAAAATTCAATGCTTCAAAATTTTCCAAACCTTTGTTAATCCATCTCTCCTGCTAATCTTCTTCTTCGAAGATTCAAATCATGAATAATATAACATGAATCCTTAATCAATTGCATTCACAAACCTATATTCAAATTCTAAAGACAATCGCTTTCTCTTGACACTCTTTTCTCATTTTATAACTTAAAATTATAATATTTTTCTCTTGTAATATATAATATTTCCTTTTTTTCTATCTTTATCGCTTCCAAAACTTCTTCACAGATGAATGTATATTCACAAATTCTATAAAATGAGATTTTAAAATTCTAATGTAATATCAATTATCATCAAAAACGAGATATTTTCTTGTAATTAATAATCATATCTTATATTCATATAACTTTATTTCATTAGCATTTGACGTTCTATTATTATTATTACTTAAATGTAATCATAAATAAACAAATAATATTTGCAAAATTTATGTGAATCATTTTTATATTTATTATAAAATCAACATATATAATAGACTAGTTAATATCTAAAAGCTACTACTAGCTTATATCTAATATTTTTTATTTCACTAATTAAGTACCTTCATTGATAGGAATAATGAGAAGAACTTTTTTTATTTATTTATTTTATTATTAAATTTACTGAAAATAGAATTCATAATATGATTTATTTAATTTTATAAATTTATTAAACAACTTGAATTTTATTTTCAACAGTTCTAACATTATTAATAGTTTAGCAATAATTTACAGTTTCAGTAATGTTTTCCTTGTATCTTTACTAGCAATCGAAATGCAAATATAACAATGACAGCCTTCACAAGTCACTGTATTTGCGCAGCAAATACTCTGCGACGAATCTGCGACCATGGAAACTATCACAAGGGACTTAACCTTCATGCGCTGCGACTCTGCCCATCCTTCAAAACCGCCCTCCAACGCGACTATTGATTTTTCTAATCCCCTGTTAGTTTGTTGAAAATAATGATTGGAGGAAAAACTAAATCTTCTAAATTACATAGAATTTAGCGATGCAATTCACATTAGATAGAATTATATCGTTATAATTAGAATTGAGTAAATCAATATTATAATAAAATTTAAAATTAAAAATCAATATATATTTAAGTAAATAGTTAAAGTAAATTACCATTTATTTACTCCAAGTTCATAATATAAATAATTATATAATTCTATAATCGTAAGTGGATCTTTTGAATAATATTATTAGTTCAGGCACTTCATTTATATTTATTAAGAATATGGATTATTATAAATTATATAATATTCATTTTGTAACATTTTCAATTTTAAATATAATTTTATAATATATGTATATTATTAATATATAATTATTATTTTATATAATTTTTTTATATAATACATTTTACATTAATATTATTGATAATTTATTATGTTTTTAATCACGTATATTTTGTTAAATTATATATAATTTCATCAAAATATTTCATACCTTATGTTATATTATTCTACGAACAATATAATTACATATACAATAATTTCGTGAAAAATTAAATTAAAAATAATAAAA